CCTCCCAACCGCACTGTCCTACATCAAAGCTAGGTGGTCTCGCAGTGCATCCCTCAACAATTCCCCTTCCACATTTGTGCACCGTCCCCGCCCGCGTGCGCCGTTCCCCACAATGCCCAAGTCCACTCTCTGCCAAACACCATTCACATCCACCTCCCACAAAAGGTTCTCGTCGAAGTCGATCCCCGCGTCCAGGAGGATATTGTGGAAAGTGTAGACAGCCACGAATTGTTGTGGCAAGGTCTCGAGGTTCGTCTTATGGGTGCGCAAGAACAGACGCCACATATACTTGACTCGGCCGAATGCCCTCTCCACACAACCCCGTGCCACCTTTTGCTGCGTGTCGAAGCGCTCCTCGTCAGCACCTTGGTCGATTCCTCCGTACGGCTGCACGATCCACGGACAGGCAACTGGATAACCGTTGTCGCCCAGCAGGTAGCCTCGCGTGACGACACCGTGCAGCAGATTCTCCGGAGTTGCGTCGAACAGCTCGCCACTTTCTGCACGCCTCCATTACTGGGAATTGTGCAGAACACGGACGTCGTGTACACTTCCCGGGTATCCTACGTGGATGTCGAGGATCCGCAGATCCATATCCACAACCACATGCGCCTGCACGGAGAACTTCTGTTTGCGGTCGTAGTAGTTCTCGGAAGGTGCGCCGGCGGGCTTGTCAATATAAATGTGTGTACAGTCGATAGCGCTGAAGCAGTTTGGGAAACCCTTATCACGAAAAGCGCGCAGAATCTGCGCACGTCTCCAGCCCATTGGCCACTTTATCGCGTCGAGGTACGCCTGCAGCAGCGCCGAAGTGACGTCGCGGACGTCCTGCAGTCCAGTTGCCCTGCCGATGTCGAAGGCTGACGTGCCGCTCTCGTACGTCTCTCCGGACGCCCACCTGTATAACGCGAAAGCAATCAGCTGCTCCACTGGCAATGGCATTCGATAGTGCGTCACCTTCTTCTCTATGTACGCGGCGCACGCGGCTACGATCTGGGTGAACATGGCCGTCGACATGCGCAGCTTCTGCCGGTAGTACTCGTCCGTCGCGTCGTCGCAAAGTCGGAGGTCCTCCCATGTTCCACCAGTCCGTCGTCCAATCCACCACCGCAGAGTCTGCCGCGGGAAAATGCCAAACGACAGCGTGGCACACAACTGGACGACTGCCTCACACAGCACCGTGCAATCCGGCGCCTCGGCAACACTCTGCAACAGCGCTCTTCGTTGGCGGAGCCGCATCAGCATGTTGCGCGAGGAGGACTCCATGTCGCCCATCGTGTTCACGACAACAGCAGTCACCGCCATCGCCACGGCGTCGATCTCTTCTTCGTGAAAACCGTTTGGGAAGCCGTGACTGTCCATCTCGGCAATCTTCGCACGGTTTGCCGCGTCACGCCTTCGACAGCCACCTCAGACACGCTCGCTGCGGAACCTTGCCTTCATAGACAAAGAACGTCGGAGCCGAAGATGCGAACGCCGCTGTACGATGGCACAGCAGACGAAGACGCGCCCGCTGCTCCACGCTTCTAAAGGACGGTACGCATGTCGGAGGTGAACGTGCGGCTAACACGATGAAGCGCCCGCTGCTCACACGTTGCGTACACTCGGAATATGGATTCCGCGTGTCGAACGGTAGGGAGGCGCCGTTTTTTTCACGTCACACGCGTCGCCTGGCCGCCCGCCGCCCAGCCACCCTGCGTCCGCGAATTGGAAATTTTGAAGTTCTGGGAAAACGCGCTTTTCACCGATCCGTCGACTCCCGCCCCAAGGGCCACCGCAGTCTGTACCACGGACACCGGCCAGGAATGGACGGATATCGGCAGCGCAGGTGCGTATACGCGTATGAAAACGGGCCACGGGAAACCTTTTAGGACGAGTCCTAAAAGATGATTTTTAGGACTGCGTGTAACGACGCCGCACGAAATCCTAAAAAAACTTTAGGACTCGTCCTAAAAATTTTAGGATTCTTTTAGGAGTGTCTAACGAGACCCTAACTAAAACACATGACACATCAATTCATAGCATCAATGTCATCAAGCACAACCTGTCCAAAGAATCCAAGACTCCCCCACACAACTCCCAACACAAGGCTGGCACGGGTATCCAAGTATTTCCACAGTGACTTCATTACCCCGCCACGAACCAAACACCGGCAATAGAACAAATGAGGCTCACCCTCCTACCGTGATTTCAATGTGTTCGCAGTTCAAGCCCAGCATCGTAGAAAATACCACCCGCACACCCCATCTCCCATTAAGTATAGAACTAAGCATCAACAACAGAGTGAAATAGGGTAATCGTTGCCCACCTATGAAATCAGAAGCCATTTTGTTCAAGCAAGGTATATCTAACCAAACACCAATATCGACCCTGGAACAGGCATATCAATGCCCCCAATACCCAGGATCCACGAAAGGACACACAGTGGCACACATCGAAAAGGGAAATCCTACACACCTACACGAAAATACGGAAAGGGAAATCCTACCAAACACATAGGCTAAAACAGGGAATAGCAAAAAGGGAACGGAAATCCTACAAAACACATAGGCCAAAACACAAAAGAGGAAATCCTGCAAAACACATAGGCTAAAATAAGGAAATCCTACAAAACGGCTAGACCAAAACACGAAAGGGGTCCCTCGGGACATCCGTTACATAGAAGATTAGCATGGCCCCTGCGCAAGGATGACACCCATAAATCAAGAAATGGTCCAAATACATTTGAAAAAAAAAAAACGAAAGGGAAAATCCTGCAAAGCACACACTAAAATAGGGAATGTAAATCGGAAGGTAGGAGAGATCAAACTACTCCAACTTGAGAACACGAAACAGGCAAATTCAGAAATATCCCTAAGACTACACTTAACCGTTAAACAATGCATGCCAAACATTGAATGAGTCTTCCATCTTCACTGCGTTCCTCTCGAGAGGATCTTCAATCTTCAACTCTAGGCGAATCCACCTCCAACCAAAAGACCTCCAACAGAACTTCGCTACCTCGATCCTCTTCATGCTTCTCCGAATCTCACGGCACATCAGCGCCTAAAACGGCAACCCCACGAGTCAGCGCCTAAAACGGCATCTTCAACAACTTTGACGCCCAACCTCATGCCCGGCGCGGCTTCCTGATCGGAGTGTGAGTGGGCCTGGAAGTGCGAAAAAAGGGTGTGCCAAGGATTTTAGGAAAGTGGGGGTTGACCTGGTGGAGTCCCGGGTCGGAACCGAGATCTCCTGTGGCAAGTTTCAGGGATAGGAATGCAAAGGATAGGTGCGGGTCGAAGTTTGTTTCTATGCTTCAGAGCGTGGGGCCACCACCTCTGTTGGCTTCGTCGTCTGGGTCGGGCTCGTATTTGGTGCATGGTCGGGACGCTATGGCTATCGCGCTGTCCGACCACTTGTTGGCATCGTGCCTCACTAGTCTCAGAATCCGACGCAGCTGGCCTCAGCCGAAGGCTGTGCGCCCGTCGTTCTTCCTCCGAGCGAGTTCGCCGGATGAAACCGGAGGCTCGGTACTCGTGGTCTTGCAAGCACTCCGAGCACAGAGGTTGGGGCCAATTCGAGCGATTGCGAGCCAGGGGATGACGGTCAGCGAATGGAAGGTTAGTATGTTGTGGTAGGGAGGGAAGTCGGTTTCCAGAATAATTACTCCCCGTTCCGCGACAGGGTGGCACGTGTACGAGCTGGGGAATTTCGGAAATTTCCGGGTGGTGAGGAATGTGCTCTCTAGCTCGGTCGATGTCCCACTCGCAGATACGCTCGTTTCCCACCGGGTATAGAAACTCAGGAAGTTTTCCCCTCGGTCATGCAGACAGACACACGTGCTCCAAATACTCCTGAAATTTCGTACCCCTCAGACACTCGCGGTCAGTAATACGAAAAGGGAGTTCAATATTCATGTTGTGGGGTGGGGCGGAAACTTAGTCATTTGAGAATTGGGCCAGGCGCAGGCACTGCAGACACGCGTGTAGGCCACGTTCTCGTGATCGGGCTTACACGTGCGTGCACAGGGTCTGCCCTTCGGTCCGATGGACATGACCAATGACCCGCGTCTCGTACGCGCTGGCCAGTTAACCGAGGGTGGATAGTCTTATAGTGAGACAGACATCTGATGCTCTAGCATGCTTTCCTAACTTCGGCAGACAAATACCCATCGTCCACGCGTCCAGTTTTATGCATACAAAAAGAAGGTGACAATCATTCATGCATCAATCAGTAGAGACAAATACAAAAAAGATCCGGAATGTCGTTCGAACAAAGCAAAAGCGACATGTGCCTGATGCTAAAATTGCCCAAAAGGGATAGAAGAAGAACTCCACATCATCCTCCGATAGTGAAGCATTCATCTAATAGTCTTATCATGCCCTATCCTATTCATACATAGACAAAACCACGCCTATCATCCATGCAAATCACGCAAGGTCCACTCGTCGGGATCAATCAATTAGATCCATAAATCCAAGAGGACAGAGAAGGGGAGGGAAAGAGGACAACTGTTCATCAACATCCGAGGAGAGCAAACGAAAACATGCACCATGATACACGTCAACAAAAAAGAGCAAATGACAAGTCCGAATGCCGATCCAAAAAGGAAAAAGAGGGGCGACTCGCGCCGAATACCAAAATTGCTCAGAACGAAAGGAGAAGAATCAAAATGGCTTAGAGGGATAGAAGAAGAAGCTCATCACACACTTCCCGTCTCTCTCTCTCTCTCTCTCTCTCTCTCTCTCTCTCTCTCTCTCTCTCTCTCTCTCTCTCTCTCTCTCTCTCTCTCTCTCTCTCTCTCTCTCTCTCTCTCTCTCTCTCTCTCTCTCTCTCTCTCTCTCTCTCTCTCTCTCTCTCTCTCTCTCTCTCTCTCTCTTCCTCTCTTCTCATCAACCCGATGTGGGCAGTTCGTCGCCTCGCACCTAGTACACGGAGTTGTCACCCCGCTTGATCCAAGCACGCAAGCCAGGTTCGCCCGCGTGCCACAGTCTGTCGCGGCCCCACGTCAACCCCGCACACTTAGCATCAGCTCATCGGATCGCCCAACTCTCTACTCACCTGCCAACTTCTGCTCGTTAGCAGATCCTCTTGACCACGCTAACTTAAAAAATGCTTAGAGAGCGAGTTAATCGCGCTTACGAAATTTATAGCATGCATCCGTTTGCGCGCGATACCCGGGATTGAGTCCGAGTACGGAGAAGAAGGAGGAAGGGAGTGCCTACGACTGCATGACCAGGCCGCAGCGTAGGGGACGTAGCCTCACTCCACACATCGATCTGGTCATGCATGCGTTTAGGCCAATAAGGCAGAGGAAGAAGTACATGCGCACGGAGGCGCGACAAAAGCTATCAAGAACGAGAGGATTACAGTTGCAATTATGCCCTCCAAAACCAGAATTACAGTTACACGCAAGGATTAAGGCGCAAAAAAGTCAGAGCGCAGATCCTGGCACGGCATGGCGTGCGCAAGCAAGAAGCACAGTGCAGCAGAAAGTAAAACGCGCCTAAATTCCTAATTCTAATTCCTAGTTGCAAAAAGAAATTTTGAACGAAGCAATTTGCGAGAGCCTGTGGGCCGGTGTGGGGGCTCGTCATCAGTTGAAAATTCAAAAAGATTTTCCTACGCGACAATCGAGGCAAAAATTCCCCATTCCCACAACAGAATAAGAAAGAATCTATGGCAACAGTTATTCACCACGCTCGCTAAGGCGCGATCAACTTAGTCTACCAACCGTCACGGAACCAGGCCAGCCCTCCCCCCCTTTGCCAAAGGACGCGAAAGCACAAGGACACGTAAGGCAAGGGCATCCACACAATTCACCAGGCCATCCCAACTCAACCCATTTCAACCCCCGACGTAGCCTCGCTCAGAAGATCGCGCGGTTGCAGAAAGTAGTTCGTCACATCACAACCAAAGCCTTCGTACCTGGGATCAAATGTGCTTCAGCAAGCTGATCAGGCTCCATACCCAGTGCAAAAGCATCATCCATAAGACACGCCACACCCGCACACCAACACATTTTCAACTCAGCACGCCAGCATAACCAGTGGCACGCCTAACCCCACGGCCAGGAGTGGTAGGGGCAGATGAGACCAGTCAAGCATGGTGACTCAACCGTGGCGGCGCCTGCCGCTGGGCCCAGCCTGCAGCGCCGTCACGTTGCCTCACCCAAGCCGCTTCGGGCTCTCGCGGTAGGCCACTCCGCAACGCTTTCCAGCGGTCCACCAATTTGGACCCGAGCGTACCATTCTGACACCTGTTGAAAATTTTTTGAGCCGCCATTCTTCGAAAGTCTGTGTGCTATGAATCTCCCTCGGCGGCGGCCAAGCGCGGCCAAGTTCGCGGCCGCGCAACTTTGCGTAGTGGGGAGGGGGATTGGGGATTATGGAAACGCCATGGGGCGGTG